ACGTAAGCTCAACGCATTCGGGAATTATATATAGGGGCAATTACAATTTATTATTATTTTTTTATTAAGGTTCTCTAATTTATTAAAAAAAAAAAACAAAAGTTTTCTACTCATTTTATTATATCATTAACCACTAATTATGGGTGAGCATAACCGAGCTGAAACCCAAAAACCGAACCGAACCGATGTGATATAGGATATTATCCCTGCAAGGGTAAACTGGTCTGCTGAACCGGTCGAAGAGGTTGTACGGCGAGGAAGTCGAACCAATCTAGCGGTAATCGAGCAAGATGATGATGGTTGAACACCTCAAAGGCAAGACCTGGAAGACTCTAGGCCAGACAACGAGCAGTCGAGCAGTCGCGTGCATTCGACAGACAAGACCAGTCCAACAGTCGAGTAGTTGAGTCGACCTCAATATATCAACCACTTTATAGATGGTCAGTATTCTAGAGATCGACCTAGTCACAGGCGCGTGTAAGAGTCTCTAACAGAATTCCAGGGGAATATTCAGAGAATTAATTATCACATGTGCAGAGGATACGTGGCGAGAATGCATTGGTTGATAGCGACAACCACCTCTGACACCATTTCTGACATGCGCGCGACATGTCAGAGTACGGACGGCCAGCTGGGGCAGCCAGTTCACCAAATCTGGGCAGCCTTTAGGTCAGGTATCTCACCCCTATATAAGTGGGGGTGAGCATTTCTTCCAAAAAACAACGATGTTCTATTATTCTACTCAGATAGATACATACTTACTTAAGTATCGGATGCTCTTCACCGGAACAACCCCCGGTGTGAGAGTTGTTTGCAGGTTTCCGGCGTTCCACCGGTGAGGACGAAAGGCGATCTATTCCAAACTGATCAGGACGCTCACACTTGCATTACAATGTATTCAGTGCAGTTCTATTTTCGGTTCGATTTTAACCCGCACCAAATATGTTAAATAAATAAAAAACAAATATGTTAACATGTTTGTATTGTACATATACATGCTCATTTTAGGCATTTGGTTTGGGATGACTAACATTAACAATAAATGATAACAATAACAATTAAAATTTAAAATATTACATTAAAATCTAATTTCTCACCCAAGTTTTTCATCTTAAGTTCAAATTTTGGGCCTTGGTTCATTAGATATGATGAAGATGTAGTTTCATTTTATTTGGAGTATTTTTTTCTTTTCTTTTTTTTTTTTAAAAAAAAATGGCGGTTACCAAGACCGCACCGACCCGATCCGAAAATTTGGGTGTGGTTTTGGTTCGGTTTTTCTACTAGTTTCGATGCGATTCGGTTTGGGTAAATATATATTTTTGGTTCGGTAATGATAGCTAATATAACATTTTTTTTTTTTTGGTACAAAAGAGGAGGCCTAAGCCTGATAGGTACTAGATCAACACCTTACGTGGACGAGCCACACCTTGAATATCATAATTCAACCAACGGACGAGTTCGAGTGGTGGAGAGCTAAGATGATGAAATCCAACCGGGACTCCAGAGGCTATCGCCGCTAGCTTGTCAGCCACAAAGTTCCCTTCTCGGTATATATGGGACAAATGAATCAACCATTCTCTTTTGAGTAATTCCCGAATAGCCTGAATAATGGACTCATGGAGTCTAAACTGAACCTCATTCCCCAACGCCATGGCAACGATACTACTATTATCAACTTCTACCAGTACTCGGCGAGCTCCCAATTCCCAAGCTAAGAGAAGGCCGTGATAGAGACCCCACAATTCCGCTCCAGTGATCGTACAAAAGCCCACATTCATAAGAAATCCGCCCAACCAATGACCATTTGAGTCCCTCGCTAAACCTCCAGCACTACCCCTTC